GAAGTTACCTAGTGGTCCTGGGGGTCGATAAACAACTATAAAATGGATTTTAAGAGGGTGGGTAATAGTGGCTGAATGTGATTCAAAGGAGCTGTTGATACTGAGAGATAGTAAAGGATTAAATTTCCAATCATTAGAGATAAGCAGACCAGTACCTCCACCTCTTCCAGTCAGATGGGGGGAGTGGGAAAAAGAGAAATTATTGGAGAGTGCTGCAGGTGTAGCATTGTCCTCTGTACATATTATACATAGGCTTTATATAAAATAAGATTACAAATGGTAATGCAATTTAAATTAAACAAACATCTCGGTATTAACACTAAAAACACTTTTTGGATGCTGAGATTAAATGTGCATTACGATCATTAGGGCAGCAAGAAAAACTGAACAGAAGTTAGTACCCTACAAGGCAATCACCCATCACTGGCAGTAGATGGCAGTACTGTCGTCGCATTCAGTATCGGCTGCCGTTCAGTGAATCAACAGAGGAAGAAACCCCGACAGACGCACACAATGCAGTTTGACTGCTACGGGTTATTCAACCAGGCTTCATGTATGTCTCAGCTTCCCAGATAAAATGAAGAAATCCATTTATCTCGTGTTGACGATCGGGGCGAAAAGCAAGCTTTCATAAGTCCATTTTCACCTTACGCTTGAGAAAAAAAAACAGCTTCTATTGCGGACACCGGCGAAATCTTCAGCTTGACCGCACACAGTGGATCAAACAGCGGGCCGCGGAAGGAGGTGCCCGGCCTGCGCTGACTGTACTGCGCTCAACATCCGTGACGGTGCAACTCCAGCCCGAGGCCTTGGGGCCTGTCATATATTATTATCGTTTTAAATGGAGGCTCGGACGAAAGCAGAAGCCAGAGGAAAATGGCCCTCTGTACACCGCGATTGGTGGCTGTGATTGGAAATATTGTTGTCGTTTTGTTCGTGTTCGTCTTTGAGGATCGTTAATAAAGCAAATCAAATTGGGTTCGTTTTAAGCAAAAAAAATAATGTAATGTGTTTTATACTTGAGTTGAGATTTAAACCCATCGTTCTGTGTCCCATTTTCTCCTCTGCTCGTCATAGAGAGCTAATGGGCTAGTATCGGGATTCATCTGACGGGTTTTCTTTTTAAATCCGTAACGTTAAATAGACAAGTGGTTACGGGTCGTGTTACGTTCATCGGTTGTATTCGTGTACTGAACTGAGTAACTTAATTAGTTTAATTTCCTTCTTAAATGTGAAGTGCAAGTCAAGATGGGTTGTCAACGAACCACAGGCTACATGGTTAGCTTGTTTTATTGGACTCATATTAAATAGCTCTGGGCCCATCGACAGATGTTTTAGAAAAATAATAACGATCTAGACAACTGTAAAACGAATAATTGATTTTTTAAATTGACATTTGAAATGTGGTAAGGTGGTTCACGTAACGTTGGTTAATGTTTGGTCGCCTGGTTGTGTTTACACCGGATATATAATAGTCGTTAAATAGTTGGCAATATCACAATCGAGTAATTTTCATAATGTAATTTATAGTATAATCAACTAAAATGTTACGAATTTGGTCGTTAAAAAGCGACTGTTCTTTAATCCGCGATCCTAACCAAATGAGCTAACTAGCAAGCTAACATCGTCAGCTGAACGAGCGATTTAACTCGTCGCTTTTTTTAACCGAATTATCTGCTTCAGATTCAGAAATAAGACTTGACTAAAATATGTTGATCTATAAGGATTGCTTTTGTGCCACAATTGGACTTTGTTTGTGCCGATCATCTTCCTTTTAATAAAGTTTACTAAGGAAAACTCAGCCCTAATTTAGGAGGTAGCATATTTTAGTCACTATTCTCTTTTATGGCATTTAATCGTGATAGTTATACTTTCCCACTTTAGTCATATTTTATTTAGGCTTGTTTATATTCTATATGTAGAAAATCAGATATTTCAACATAAAATCAGCATGTTTTCTTTGAACCAGCCATGTTGAATCTTAAAAACCCGACTGCGCCACTGATCGGTAGTTTCTCCTTTTTTCTTCCTCAGATGAAAGTGACAATGTCACTGTTGACAGAAAGACAATAACGTGGAATATCTAGAAGCTTTCATAATCGTTGTGTTATTGGATAAAACAAGCCCGGTGATGCCCAGACATGACTGTACTCGGACTGCAGTGTGCTCACACCATACAGCCTCCACTGGACTCGATTAAATGATAAGACCTTAAACCACACTTTCATCTGCGATCCACAACACTGGTCCTGGAGACGTAGGGTTTTATTCAGTATCAGTTGTAAAGTTTCCCAGGGTGTGTTTTTATTAAGTGCCTTTGTACGGACATTGACATGGACGGTCCCAGTCGAAGCGGAGGCTTAAGGCAGAGCCGTCGCTCCCGCTCGCAGCGTGACCGAGAGCGGCGGCGGAGAAGAGCGGATCTCCCTGAGCACTCGTCGCCATCCTCGGCCTCGGACCAAGACCTCTGCAGAGGAGACTCGCTGCTCCGTGCCAGCGGAGGAGAATGCAGACCTGGCTTCCCCGGGGCCAGACACCGGCCTCCGCGTCGGAGAAAGCGAGAATCGGTGTCTTGCGAGGAGGACATCATCGATGGATTCGCCATAGCCAGCTTCATAAACCTGGAGGCCTTGGAGGTTTGTGTGTTTATTCATCTTTAACTAGTCTGTATTGAGTGTTGCATGGAGATTAGACGTTGTGCTGTTTTGCATATTAATTTTAGTACAAAACATTCTGAATATCTATAAAACGCAGTCAGTGCAAAATGAATTAACAGCAGAGTCTCTGCATAGAGCTCATATATTTGCTGCTTTAACGTGTTTTAATGTGTTACTTTGATAGATGGACTGTTCCCTAAAGCCTCCAGAGCGTTCTGGCTTGTTCATGGTTAGAGGAATCAAAAGGAAGAGAGGCCTGGATGAAAATGGAGGGCCTCTGTCAGAGCCGGAGGAAGGGCCTCCTGCTACATACACCAACAGTTGGGAGCAGCGCAGGAAAATTAAATCAAAACTGAAGAGAAAGGGAGATGCTAAGGTTAGCGCTGCAGTTTCATAACCCATTATGGTCTATAAACAACAACAAAAATCCTGTATGTACAAACGCCCATGAAAAACATGTCACTGCAGTGTTTTGGGTGCAACAAGCAAACATTTCTTGAATAGTCCTGCATGGATGAGAGTCTGGCATAAATCAGTTGTTTATTTTAAAGTAAGTTTTCAATACTGCACAGTAATGACATGTCAGAAGGTGTATTGTTGGGGAAATTAGATGCAGTGACTGGTCTAAATAAAATTTGCATCACATGTGAATATGCTTCTTGCTGTCCTAGCAGTAGTCAAAAGAGGTTTTTTTTTTCACAGTACAGATGTTTAGAGAGCAGGGCG